CTTGCTTATTTACTTTTTAAACAAACAGAAACTGGCTCTTTATCCTCATGATTCAGAAGATTATTCCATCTCACTGCCTTTTGGTATGTGAATTGTGAAGCAAGTTCTAAAAATAATGAAGTATGTAGTGTAGTGAATTCTTCAAATGGGGTTTCTTCTACTAAAGAAAGTCCTACTTCAAGTATGTCTCTTACTTGTGTTTCTAGGTTTATAAGAAAGTGAGTGGCAAAGGATTTGGTTGACCTAAAAATTGATGTGGATAGGTACTTGACGGTTGCTTGTGAAAGCATAGAGGATACGGATTTTGGTGCTCTAACCGGTGGAGGTTTAATGAAAATAAATATGACACTTTGTCCAAACTTACAAAGGATGTTATGGCAATTCAAGTGTCTACAGCGATTTCAGAAAGTTCTTTTAGTACTGGAGGAAGAATTCTTGATCCTTTCCGTAGTTCTTTAACCCCGAGAATGGTGGAGGTCTTGACGTGTACCCAAAATTGGCTAAAAGAAACTCCAATCATGAAGAGATTTTACACGAAGGACGTGGAGGAATATAACAAACTGGATTAAGGTAATATAGCTAAAACTATTTCATGAATTATGTTAAATATATGTGTTTTATCTAATTGATTACAACTCAATAATTATTTTTGTAGAGCTTTTCAAATTTGAGTTTGAATCAAGTAGTACATAGTTTCTTCATCCTTTGACCTACCACATGTAAATTGCTTGGTTTGGCCTTGAATAACTAATCATTTCTTTATTAATCTATTATTAGATGATTGTAAATTGAAAATTACCTAGTTTGAATTTGGATGATTGTATATTTTTATTATATTACCTAATTTCGATTAAATTATTTTGTGGTTTTGTAGCGTGTGTATATATAACAAATTGGATAAATGTAATAGTAAAACTATTTCATGAATTATGTTAAATATATGTGTTTTATCTAATTGATGCTAAGTGAGTAATTATTTCTGTTGAGCTTGTTGACCTATGGTTAATTTGAAAACTCAAAGTTTTGAGTATAACAAACAAGTTGGTCTTATCTGCTAACACGTTGAATTCAAGTTATTATAGTCTTTCGACGTGTATAAAGAAAAATTGATTAATGGTTGTCAAAAGACCAAAAGCTATCATCACAAATCGAACTCTTAAAAGATGTCAAGATCGAAGTCACATTCAATAAATTAAGAGCCAAACTTCGGAGCAAGATCATAGACTTGATTTCTTAGATATAATGTAAATGTACTAATACTTTGGTATTTGACAATGAATACTTAATCTCAAAATCTTCCTATGCATTCGAATGCAACATTTTGATTAAATACAAAAATGACTTTTAAAAAGACATTTTGACTTGAAAAATATATTGTTATCTTGAAAATTTAGTTAATAATATGGGCTTGTTTGTGAGTGATTTTAATCCAATTAAAATTGAAAATATAGCCGTTATTGGGTCTCATCCGTCTAATAAAAGTCAACAATAACGGCTAGTTTTTCAATTTTAATTCGATTTTAATCCTTCCCAAACAAGCTCTATATTTCAAAAGTCCATAATTTTTAAAACCTTCAAATCGGGTCTAACAGAGCCAAAACACAAAAAGTCCGAAAATTGCCGACGGTACACCGGCCAAACATGGCGGTCGATCAGACGTCTCTAACAATCAATTTTTTTACTTTTCCGACTTCTGATTTTTCCTATACAAACGATCATGTTGGTCATCCAAAAATTGGCGGTCGACCGGACAGTCATTCGGTTTGATAGAAAATTTGGAGTTTTTAATTTTTATAAATACCAACTCTCTTGCCATTCATTATAACAACTTTAGAGCATTCAATTGAGATTCTCTTGACCTAAAATTGCATTGATTTCTCATTTTATTTATTATCATCAAGTCATTCTTGTTTTGAAAATTTTTTGATTGATCTTAACTTTAAAAAATCATTTCATTTATCAAAATTTTTCAAATCTAACTCTTGAGCTTTATTCATTGCCATCTATTAAAGTGTTAGTTTACTTCTGTTCTTGTACTCAACTTTTAATTTATCATTCATTAAGAAGAGAATATCTCACTTGTAAATTTCTTTGAATTGTGGGTCATACTAAGGCCATGGAAAGCTCAACGTTATAAAATCATCGGTGCTCGTTATTTATAAGTCACTGAAAGCTTTGTTAAGGGTTAGATTGCATCATAAGTCAATCAACATAGTGAAAATGACCTTACTCATAACGGAGAGTTTGGTAACGAGGGACATAGATCGTATTTGGGATCGAACCTCCATAAATACATCGTTTGCATTCTTTTTCCTTTTACTTACCATCTTTATATTGTTCGAATTACTTGTGATTAATTATCCTTGTATTCGTGCATATTTGTTGAATTGTTATAATTATTAGTATATTGTTTTAAGACTTGAATTTATTTTAGAAAAAGTTTTGAAAATCAATTCACCCCCTCTTGGTTGCTTACAGAGCTTTCCGAATCTGATGAATCAAGTAGTACATAGTTTTCTTCCTCCTTTGACCCGCCACACGTGAATTTTTGATTTGGCCTTGAATTACTAGTCATTTTTTTATTATTCTGTTACTAGATGATTGTAAATTGAAAATTACCTAATTTGAATTTTGATGACTGTATTTTTTTATTATATTACCTAGTTTCAATTAAATTATTTTGTGGATTATGGAAATGCAAACTTGTGTGTGTGTTTTATCTAATTGATTATGTTCTAGAATTATTTTGTAGAGCTTTTCGAATCTGAGTTTGAATCAAATATTACATAGGAGGTGTTTGTTTTTTATTCTCAAATTCTACTGTAAATCAATTCTCATTTTCAACCACACATTTTTCAATAAAATAATATTTTCTATCACATCAATAATCTTTTCTTCTTTTTCAACCATACATTTCCCATCAAATCACTATTCAAAAATCAATTCATCCCCCAAAAATTCCTACCAAACAAGCACATAGTTTCTTCCTCCTTTGACCCGCCACGTGTCAATTGTTCGGTTTGGCGTTGAATTACTAGCCATTTCTTTATTATTCTGTTATTGGATTATTGTAAATTGAAAATTACCTAGTTTGAATTTTGATGACTGTATATTTTACTTATATTACCTAGTTTCAATTAAGTTTTTTTTTTTCTCGTTTTAATTTGAGTAATTAAGTGTTTATCTGGAAGTTTTACAATTTTATTAAAAAAAAAAAAACAGCACGACCCAATTTGTGTGATTCATGTTGGGTCGGTTTCAATAACCAAATCAGGTTGGTTAGGGTTACAAAACAATCCAAAATCGATCAAGTCAGGTTGGTATCAAGTTCGGGACACAATTGACCCGACCTGCACAGCTCTATTTCTACTCCTAATCACAATATTTAAGAAAAAATAGTGAACTTTGACAGCCTCAGTAAAACAAAAATATAATATACTTCACAATAAAATTTTAATCAATTGAATCAACAAATTCTAAGAATTCATGTCAAACAAATATGCTGAAAATTACAGAGTAACACCTTGATTGACTTGTTTGGGAGTTGATAAGCCATCGGCATCAATTTAAATTTAATCACACACCAGGTCAAGTGTGCAAACAAGTGGACCCACTTCTATCCTGGCAATAACAACATTCCATGAGGATGTAAGGAGCTTACTCGAATGACATCACCTTCTTCCATCGAGAGAGAATGATAATAAATTGTTCGTATATGATTTGAGCAATTAGCCGAATCTTCCGAAATTAGTTTACTCGAAACTTTTGTGAAATTCACACAGTTTATTTCTCAAACATAAATATATGTTTAATGCCCTCTTAAGAAGAATGAAGAGACCACATTAGTCTAATTTATGCTTTCCATCAATTTTAACTCAAATAGCATCCAATTTAGAAATTATCACATTAAGAACACTCGGATGATCTGAGATTTTTGCACCTGCATCCATTCCTAAAGAATTAAATTGTTCCTCAGGGACAAAAGGTTTGGAAGGCTCTTTGTCAAATATAGCTCTTCAAGTTTTTGTAAAAGCTCCCGTGAGATTACAGTGACTCGAATTATGTTTGGTCCAGTCCGAAAAATAGACGGTCAGTAACGTACACAAACATTTTGAGTTAGAAGAGCACAATCAAACTTGCAAAAAAATTGTGAAAAACATAAAAACGTTCGATCTCTTATTACAATTGTTCTATATGCATTTCCTTTCCTACATCCTCAGTATTAGTTTCAACCAAAATATCTTCACGATTAGTTTAATTAGTTGTCTGCTTATTGCTTACCTTTCAATTTGAAATGAAAAACAACTTAAGTTCACTGTGTTTAGAGGTCTATGAGTGAATGTGGTGCCAAAATTCAGTGGCATATGAGGTAGACGGTGCCGTAATGACAATCACTTTGCATCAATGTTAGAGTAAATTGGTAGGAAAAAAAATGCAAATTTAGGTTCTAATTAGTTGAAGGATTTTGCTAAAGTGCCCAAAAGTTTGACATAGGGGTTGACACCGCCCTCACATTTGCACGTGGGTCCCGACCTGAATAAAAAAATGCCAACCTCCCATGTATGAGTGTTTGGTCATCCTTTATGTCATCCATTATGTTTTTGTAGCAAGACTCTTAGCTGAAAATTTGATTGGAAAGTGAAGATTTATAATAGATGTGATAATTTGGGAAGAAATTATAGACAAGTTTTGAAGATAATTATTTCAACACTACTCATAAAATACTCTGATGAATAAAATAAAGAAAAATAAAATGAATTGTTTTACAAAATATGAACACAACTCTTTTTCCGGAGAAATGTTTCAACAAAACAATTCAATTTATAGTCACTTCAAGAAGAAAGAGAAGCTAAAGAGGTAAAGAACTAGGTGAATGTTACACTTGCAAATTGCAATCCCATACATTCCTACTTCTATAACTATATCAAGAAAAAAATACGTACAAACTTTCTGGTTTTAGACCATGAAGGCAAAAAGGATATAAACAGAGATTTCTTCAGCTACCGACCATCTAGAATGGTAACTGTAACTTGGTTCACGGTGCAGGATTCGTCCTGTTTACTTGACGATGATTCTGTATCAACAGGTCTTCTTCCCAAGCAAAATCCTGGGTTCTTAGGTTGGGACATTGATGCAGTATCGCTACTTAACATCAAAACGACAGTGTCCATGTTAGGTCTATCTTCAGCTTGTTCCTGCACGCACAAGAGGCCAACTTGTATGCACCTCAATACCTCACTTGAGGAATATGATTCACCAGCTGCTGAATCCATTAGTTCCATACCTCTTCCTTCTCTCCATAGCCTCCATGCCTGCAGCATTTCGATCAATTTCTTTGTTAGTTTGTGGGCAAGCAAAGGAATTTGTTAACTCAGGATTCTAATAAATGTATATTGCAAGAAAAAGCTGCAGTAAACTTATTTGTACTTACATGCGCAAGAAGATTAAGTTGGTTATTTGTATGATAAAATCCTCTGTTCTTCTTGCCACTCACTATTTCTAATACTAGAACTCCGAAACTGAAAACATCCGATTTCATAGAGAATAGGCCATCCATTGCATATTCAGGTGACATGTAACCACTGCAAAAAATGAATTGCTATCAGTGAAAATTGAAGCTTTAAATGAACTTTTTTAGTATCAGGAAAATTTATTTAGTGCTCACTATGTTCCGACTACTCTTTTTGTATTCGCTTCAGTCTGATCTCCCCCAAAAATTCTTGCCATGCCAAAATCTGATATTTTCGGGTTCATCTCTTTATCTAAGAGAATGTTGCTCGCTTTGAGATCTCTATGGATAATTCTGAATCTTGAATCTTGATGAAGATAGAGAAGCCCTCTTGCAATCCCACATATGATGTTGAACCTCCTTTTCCAGTCGAGCAATGAACTTTTCTCTTTCTCTGTCAAAGAAACATTTGGCAAGTGCCATCAATACTAAACTGAACTCTTATTTTATAAATTAATTTTTATAAAACAACGAAGATCAAAGGACTCACTGAACAAAATTGAATCCAGGCTTTTGTTTTCCATGTACTCGTATACCAACATCTTCTCCTCCATATCAACGCAGCAACCGAGCAAACGAACAAGATTTCTGTGCTGAAGTCTTGCAATCAACTTCATCTCATTTTTAAATTCCTCTATTCCTTGGCCAGAATTTTTCGAAAGCCTCTTCACTGCTATTTCCTGGCCTTCCACCAATATACCCTAATGTTCCAAGAACGTACGAAAAATTATCTCAAAAATGAACATTTGCCACGTGCCATTATACATCATTGTGTCGACACATTTTGTTATTAAGATTTACCTTATAAACACAACCAAAACCACCTTGTCCAAGCTTATTAGCATCGGAAAATTTATCAGTAGCCATTACTATGGTACTGAAATCATATAATGGTAAATCCACTTCATCCACTGTACTTTCACCTGAAAAGTCTCTTTTGTTGAGGATAGCTGGTGCATTCATCAGAAAATCTTGACTTCTTTCCCTTGAACCTGTTTTATTTACAAGGTATATATTCAATGCACGATATAATATACTTATATAAATATGCATATTAATCAAAACATTATGCATTTCGTTAATCATCACCTCTATACTCCGTCCTATTCCATATCTCAGTACGCGATTTCATCCTCTTCCAGATGAAGAAAATGCAGAATCCAGCCAGAACAACGCCAATGCCAACCGTGATGCCAGCAACCTTGATAATTTTTTGTGTCCTATTGGAATCATTTCCTGTTGCTCCTGCTTGTTCTAGAAAATAAAACGATACTGTAATCAGAAGTTGCTCCTTGCTTCTTACGCTAGTATCAATTTTGTTGAATATATTGTAATAGTGTTATGGACTAGCATTCTCAGAAAAATTATAATTAGCTATGAAATGTTTCGAGTTCAACCACTTCAAACCTTCAATATGCTCTCTTATTGTGTTACCCTTTTCAATAATCTTACGTTTTCGAATTTTCGTTCCAAGTTCATTTACATTCTTATAACATAAATCTGTGGTCCGTTGGAGAATTAAAGCTTCACCATACTATACGTAAGGCCCTTAGAACATCTCCAAAAGACCCTCTAAATACAAAATACTCTTTATTTTAAATAGTCAATGCTTAAAAATGAGTTTCAATGGATTCTCTACTTTAACTTTTTAAAGTAGAGAGTTCAGTTAATATATAAAAAATTATGTTAAATAAAATATGAAGAAAAATCAATAAATGTTTTTTGAGAAAAGCAAAATGAAGAGTCAATAGAGAGCTTGTTGGATTATATAAAAATTTTGACTCTCTAAATTTAAAGTTGTTTTCTATAATACGTAAGATGTTATTTATAAATAAAGAATGTTTTGGAGATGCTCTTCTACGTTTGACATTAGCCATAATATCTAACTCCACATTTGTTCACCTTCCTAAAGTACAGACAAAAATCTTGACACGGTATCTTGGTCATTAGAAACGAAATGGACAAGAAAACAAAATATTCCATGAAGCAAGGGCTTACTAGTCTTTTAACTTTTTATTTATACTGAAATTGCTACAATTTTTGAATTTAAAAAGGAAAAGTAGAAAGTAAAGACTTAGTATGGCCCAAGAATTATATTCCTGCCCAAATGCGACAATCATGTTATATGTACATTATTTCTTATATTCTACCACGTGAAAATACGTCGTTAGACAGTTTAAAATTTTGATATTTTTTTTTTTCATCCAATCAACACACGCGAACATGCACAACGTCATTCAAATGAGATAGGGCGTGGCCCAACTAAAACGTACCAAGTCAATAATTTCGGTCTAAGGACTTTGGAATTTTACAGCAGAATCAGGGGCCCAAATCGCCGGCCTAAGAATTGTTCACATCAGACAATTTATGTAATGTCATTGGTCCCCACAGTTCAACAACTTTGAATTTTCAAGCCCTCATTAATTGCGTGATTCATGTTTTAGATGGGGGGTCTTTACCTTAAAATTCAAAATCTAAACTTTATTTATGTTACAAGATTTTTTAGATGTCTTAGATTGGTAGTTCATTTAGCCCCTGTTTATCTAACATTAATCTAACAAATTGTTTGCTAGAGTAAAATTCTACACCAGACATTCTCCCATCAAAATATTCTACACACAGATCAATAAAATTATTTTAAATTTCAACCACACATTCTCAAAAAAAATACTATTCACTACTCCATTTTTCTCCTAAAAATGGGAGACAAACACACCCTTAATTTAATCAAATATCAAGTTTCGAAGGAGGAATTTAGCCCTCGATTGATTTGGATTAAAATCTTAAGGTAAAGTTAATAATTAATTTTAACCACGTATTTCATCAACTTTTATCAAACAAGAGGTTAATGTCACTTCATCTAAGTTAAGCCGGGATTTTAATAAAATAGGAACATAGAATCTTGACTCAGAACTTAATTTTATTAAACCCGATTGTCGATTGCACCCAAAAAGTTAATGGAATAGGAATCCATGTCTAAATCTATGTAACGAGTGTTTCATTAACTTCATCTTTAAAAACCTATTTTACATTGTTGGAAATTTTCAAAGCATGTGAAACTAAGGAATAATATTAACTTAATTTCAATATGCCCAACTACCCTGCACTAAGTCCAGCAACATAATTAACTAAAAGAAATTTAAAACATAGATAATTATGACAGTAAATAAAAGTTAAATTGAATTACTTACCTACAACAGAAGCCGCTGCCCGAACGTGAAGATCTTGGCCACCCTCCGCCGCTGCATATTGCCTCATATCAACAAGAGCAGTCGTCCAAATTACACATCCCGAGCCACCATCGGTAATATTCGCATCGGAATAAGCCAGGCATGAACAATTTTTCCGGCACAAATCTTGGCACTGATCTAGACTCATTCTCGTGTCAACAAATGCGCTCGAACTTTGAGGCAATTTCATATTTTTCAATGTCAAAAACCCGTCATTCGAACAATTCAATATATTAGTCCGAATACACCCATCGGAACCATCTCTCAAACTCCAAGCCTGTGGACTCCTAGGCACGAACCCCTTCATACACTTGCATACCGGCGAAGCATTTGTATCACATATGCCATACTCCCCACATTCTCTATAGTCATCACATTGATCTCTCGGTGCATACCAGAATGGATTCCAGATTTCGCTTGTCGGAATCCATGTAAATCGTTGAAGTGCACCGGAATCTGAATTTTTAACAACCAATCTTGAATAAACAGACTTGTTATGCAATTCAAATCCATAGTACACCTCATTTTGATCCATCACAAACTCAAATGTAAAAATCGGAGTAGCGTTCATTTGTGGCACGCCGCTAAATCTCAGGCCATTCCAGGGACCACTCCGGTAAACAATAGACTGTTTTTTCGTCAAAAAACATTCTGGGAAACCATTGATGTCGAGCTTGAAACTGTAGTCACCAGTACCTGGATCACCAGCGTTTTTCCAAGATGTTAAAAATCTGTTCAGGCCTGTTTTTGAATCCCATCCAAGTTTCATCCCTGGCAGCAATGTGTCTGTTGGATAATCAAAGCTTTGCCATAAATAATTTTTCGGGTCAGGATCATTTTCCTGCCGGAGAATGAAATTTCCAGTTTCCAGCAATTCGGCTACAGTATTTTCTGCCCTGGAATGATTTGTTGACCATACAGATTTTCCATTTTCATCCAAAAGAACAAGATTTCCGTCTTCCCCAATCTTCAACACAGCTGAAGAGTTTCCTACAGGCGAATCTCTATTTGCGACCCAAACAATAGTTTTTTCTTTAATATTCTTGTACCAGATTCCGATGTACCGATTCCTTGATTCTCCAGGATTAAAGAAGCCCAATACAAATTCTTCCCCTATAGACACTAAGGTTTCATCTCCGGCGAGAACTTGGGTTGGAGTAATCAGATCAATGGCCGTGGTGAAAACTGAAAACGCAGTGAATAAAATCAAGAAACTCCAAAAGTGGTGGTGCTGGTTCTTGATAGTGTTTATCATTTTCCAAGCAGGGCTTCGTATCTCTCCCTAACATTCGGCCATCCGTTGATCTAATACACCTGGAAATGTGTGTAAACGAATTTTCTTTGTTTTTACATATGGGACTCTTTCCTTCCGTCTTTCCTTTTGACAGTGATGACTATCTAATCCTTCTGTAATTACAATTTCTTTTACATTATAAAACAAGGCTTTAATTATTGGCTTGATCCGACAAAAGTAAAAACGGGAGATGGACTCATTTGTCAAAGTATAAAGTTAAAAAGGCATAAAGCAGAAGTTTGATCAAATCTGGATGTATCTTTCTCTTTCTAATCTCATGTTAAATATTTCAAGGATGTTTCGATATAATACTAAACATGACTAAAACATATTTAATAAAAAATTAAATTTTATCTATTACACCGTTTATTCCTATTTGTGAAACTAAGTACCAAATACAAAAAGACCCTATTTGATTGCAACGAATTTCATGAAAAATGTCATATTTCGAGGAAAACGAATTCCACTTTAACAGTTTGATTGCAACGTGAAAATGAAAATCGAATTTCAGGATACAATCACTTTAAGTTGTATTTTCTTTATTTTCATGGAAAACAAATTTCTATGAATTTTGTGAATTTTTATTTTCCAACGACCATGAAATTGGAATTTATTTCCACATTTACCTATCAAACGGACATAATAATACAATATCATTCTATGTGACACTAAATGATATATTTAATAAAATATATAATTAAATGATTTATTACATTGTACTTTTCATTTAATGTCACCTTAGTATAATGGACATTGATATTTTAAAGCGAATGATGCTAAATTAAAAAGGGTCAAAATTTGACATTTGTCTTGTAGTGGCTTAGTATATGACTTCTTCAAAATCAGGTCATAAATAATTTTTTTATTCTCTCAATCGTCATATCGTTACGTAAAGAAGTTGAAAATTTTACCTCACGAGTTTCAAATTTTAAACTTCAATTTAATGCAAAAATTTTCCCTCTCCATATAATTCTCGACAAATGCTTTGTTATAAAGAAGACGACGCAATCAGCGCTTTAGTCACCAAGTATGCCTTTTATAGCTTGTTTGGGAGGGATTAAAATCAGATTAAAATTGAAAATATAGCCGTTATTGTTGACTTTTATTAGACGGGTGGGACCCAATAACGGTCATATTTTCAATTTTAATTGGAATTTAAGCCCTCCCGAACGGGGCCTAAGGCAATTTAATCTATACCTAACTTGTGAGATCACAATTTATAAATTATTAAAAAAGGGCAGTTGTGGGGTTTAATGGAGGCTACGTATGTTTGGTACAACAAAGTTAAAGTTTTGAGTTCATATAAAAACTAAAATAATTCATGACAGTTTCGGTCAATTTAATAATTAAATAATTATTCCAACCTGTCCACCAATATATATTCTCTACTGTTAATAATATATAATACACGTTTTGCTTACACATTCTGATTTCAAATATATTCCAAATCATAAAATTTCGTCAGAGTCAATGGATGTATCAAATTATTCTTTTGATTTTATTTAAATTTGTCATTTGTATGTTTGTTTGGGTTAAATCCATTATAAGGTCAAATTGTTCAGCCTGATATCAATTTTTGACTTGCAAGGATGGAATTTTTCTTCTCAATTTCCATGTTTTGGACGGGCAAATTTTGTGGGAATTGTTCAAAATTGGACTTTTATATTTGTCAGACAAATTTGTGATAGTAAACGAAATATGTGCAATAACGTAATACCTATCTATGCATTAGAAAATGACAAATGTTTTTATATTATAGATTTTATTTTCTTAATGAGAATATCAAAATATTTTTATATCTCACTTTTACCATAAAAAAATTTCGTTGTGTATCCTTGCAATTTTGGTAGGGACTAGTTGAATTTTCTCTAAAAGACTTGTCACTACCTTTGCGGTCCATCGCAAAGTCTTCCAATTATCGATCTCAAATTGATTCCAAAAGCATATTTTAAAAGGGAATTTTCCATTTTTCCATTTTTTTTTTGGGGGGCAAATTTTTGGAAGTATTTAGTGATAGAACTTCCTTCGCAATATTGATCACTCAAGAGTGAAAGATTTGTGAGGAAACGCTCCCGAGTCCCGACACTATCAAAATGGTACCCAATTTTTGCGAATTGTTGTCTCACGGCTGACTATTGAAAAACCTTGTAATCTTATGCATATTGTTGACTTCAAAAAACACAAATGGTCAAGTTTTTTGTTCGAATTTTGACTTGATTTTCCCTTTTGGGGGATTTTGAGTTGATAGCCCAATAATAACTAATCAAGAGGGGGTGAATTGATTTTTAAGACTTTTTCAAAGTATTGATCTAATTCAAGCAAGTAAGACTAAATAGAATAATCCAACTAATAAGTACAAATATGAAAGCGATAAATAAAAATGAAGAGAAGATGCAAACAATATAACTGTGGATGTTCACTCCTAAGCAATGACTTACATCCAGCTCTCCGGTATAAGCAAGACATTTTCACTATATTAATTGATTTATGGTGCAATCCAAGCATTTACGCTTTCGGTGACTTATAAACAAGAAGCACCGATCCTTATACAATATTGAGTTTCATGAGACCTCCATATGACCCAAACTATTGAGTTTTACGGGGTCTCAATATAATCCACACGGTGATTTACAACAAGAAGTATCGATCATTGTACTATTGAGCTTTCACAAGACATCAATACGACCCACAAGTTTAAAGTAAATAATTTTACAATGAAAGTTATTTCTTAATAAATAATACAAATGAATTAAATATTAAGAGAGACTAGCACTTCAACGAATAGCAATAAATAATAGCTCAAGTGTTAAATGAAAAACTTTAATGAATATGATAATTTGAAATTTGATTCAATATATTAACATTTTTCAATGAAAAAATGTAGAAGGATTAAAAGCAACGTAAGTTAAAAATCTTCTCAAAATATATCTATCTATTAATGAATGAATGAAATAAATTAAGTACTAAGAAAGAAGTGAGAAACTTTGATGAATACGATGAATTACCAGTTTGTTTCAATCAAAGTTTGCAATATAAAAAAAGGTTGAACCTCAACCTAGAGGGCCCCCCACCGTCCCGCCCCTAGAGCATCGTGAATGAGGTAAATAGTTGGATGTGACTCAGCATGCCAGTGTACACGAATTGCCATACTGGTGCCTACAAAGAATCCAATTTCATATCTCGTAAGAGGCAGAAATCTAACCCTCACACTGCGACTACCAACTTAACTGAAAATAGCCCACTCCTGTCATTTGCACCACTAAGCTATGCCTCAATAGGCAAAGTTTTCAATATAAAGAAGTAGAAGAAATATATCCAATGTAAGTTCAAAAATTTTCTTTAAAAAATATCTCTCTTTTATGAGTAATAGAAATAAGTTAAGTATATAAAAAAAAGATGAAATTTTCTTGATAAATATGATGATTAAAGAGTTTGAATCAATCAAATTTTTTGATACAAAGAAATAAGTGAAATGAATGCAAATGTAAGATTAAAGAAATCTTTCAACATATATATTACTTTGATGTTCTAGAAAGTCTCTTGAAGAATGGAAGGGTGATGATATTTATTGAGTTCAAAACGTCAAAAAATTCGTGAGTTCGGATGACTCTTCCAGTTGATTTCCTCTTGACCAGATGACCAATATAGTCCTTTATACAGTAAAAATCAAAGGTAAGAACGATCAAATTTTGGACCGTTGGAAACTTCCCGTTGATCGTCACTTTTAGCCGGTTGATTGCCTCCGATCGACCATTTGTCCTGACAGTTTCGATCTTTTTACGTTTTGGTCCCCCCGTTTGATCTGATTCGAAGGTTTTGAAGGGCATTGACTTTTAGAAAGTACTTTTGAGTAA